GTATATAAGTATTTATATTTAAATATATAAAATGTATACTTTGGAAGTCAAGGAATATCAATATAGTAATATTGTATTTAAAATCAAACTTACGAGACTTACACTTCAGGCACTCTCCCACCCCAGCTAAAGCCCTGAACTTCGTTTGTAAAAAGCCCCTACCAAAGGACTGCATGATATAAATATCAAGATGTAATGGCCGCCTTCTTCATGTCGGCAATTAGAGCCCTGAACTTTATAATGAATTTACCGCCAAGGCGTTGCATTGAGCCGATTGTAAATATTTCTGTGGCTGCTTCACTTGAACTTGTTGCACTGCTAATTGACATGTTGCATGCCACACGCCGTTGCTTCGCCCCACCGAGCTTTGTTTACATTTGCACAGACACGCAATTTATCGTCATATGGCCAATAAGAAATACTTCAACTGCAGCAGCAACTCTGCCCGAGTCAGATTTATATGTATTATGCCAGAGCCAATATTTATGGTCGGCATCTGCCAGGCTGGGTGCTAAATACTTAGTTTATTATCGCCTCTACTGCGGCGGGCTCAAATGTGGGTTATTGATTTAAGCCAAACAAATGGAGACAATGTAGGTGAATATCGCTTGCTATTTGCTGGCATATGTTAATGGCTAGACCAAGTCGGCCAAGTTTATAGATGCCGGCGTAAGTCACTCACTCTTTGAATAAATTTAACTGTATATTGCAGACAGTTTATATCTTTTATTCATGTATATCATATGATCAAGTCAAAATATACAGTTAATTTACGAAAATCAATCATTTAGGGACGTTTTTCTATGGGAAATTGTGTTTGATCTACTCAGATTATCAATTGATTATAGATTATCATTATTATATCAACATTCGGCTGTTAAACTATTTAATTACTACAATATAATGCCATTTTCCTCAGGCCTATATGATATGTGAGCCGACGCCTTCTTAATGACTCTCCTCTGACGCATAATTGCTATTATCAAAGCAATCAGAGCGCTTTAGTAAATGAGTAATATAATATAGATTAAGGGAGGCAAATGAAGTAATACAATGTAGATTAACTCGAATATTATCTTATTCCTTTGCTTGTAGTATGATTAAATGTAGATTTGGGATCTCTATATAATTAGGCTGCAGTACAAACCCATAAAATGAAGACTCGAATTATGCTGTCCTGTTTAGCAGCATCAATTGAGCAATTTTGCATTTTTGCCACGCGATTTAAATCAATTAGATGCTTACAGAAAAAACCCAAATAAACAAGCTTAAAACTTGTTGGCTGATTGCTAGCCGGACTCTTAGAGCACTTGCATATCATTATGATAAGTTGATGAATAATTTAATGTGCGGGTTCTGAGCGTGAGCACGCAAAATGTTATGGAGTGTAAAAGGTGTGTGGATCAGAGAGCCAACAGCCTGGATTCGATCGACAGCTGCACATATACATATAGCAATGTATGTATGTATGTATATACATATATTTGTGTGTAGGTAGAGGGCATGGCTCAGGCCCTTGGCCTCGTCTAGACTAATTTTCTGCTCATAAAAGCAACTTTAATTGCACAAAAAACATGTTTTTATAGTTTCGAGCTAAAAATGAATGCTTGTTGTTTTTGTTTTTGTTTTTGTTTTTGTTTTTTGTTTGCATTTTATAATTTTTTCTCGAGCAGTCAATTGTTATTGGCATTGCTTCTGACCAGATGATTAAACAGCCATAATCCGGGGCTTTTAATAAAACGCCGCCAAAAAGTATTAAAAAGCAATGCCAACATATTAGCTGGAAATCTCATAAATTATGCAAGGAAATGACCTGTCAGCCCTTCTGCATCTACTACTACTCCTTCTTCTTCTTCTTCTTCTTCTTCTTCTTCTTCGTCTATATGTTCTTCTGCTCTTTGTTGTTCGATTTTGAACTCTGGACCGCCCCTGAGCACAATTCTACCAACTACTACAAAATATGGCTGCCATTTGAAATGAAATCGAAAATACAACAAGAACAACAACAACGACACAAATCGAGGGGTAACAAAAATACTTTTTACAACTTCATTTTTACGAGCGCGCCAAAGTTTTGTTGCGGATTTTCAGGCGAAAAAAATTAAGAAAAAGAACAAGAGGCGACTTGAGGAAGCTATGAGATGGCACCGTGCTGCCCGTCTCGATGAGAGTCCAGGAATTAGCGCAAGCGCATTAAATTAATTAACTGAAGCCAAAGTCTATCGATCGCCGAACCACTTGACGTTCGCTGCTTAACGATTCGAGCCCGTGACGGCGACCCCTGAAACCCTATATGGTAGTTAGCCAAGCAACAGCAAGCAAGAACAAAACCTTGCTGCCGAGTTTTACGATAGCTAAACTACTTGGCAAGCCCCAAGCAAAAAGTCAAATAGCACATTCACATAATTACAGACGCAGTTGCAGTTGCAGTTGCAGTTTCTGTTGCTGTTGCAGTTGCAGTTGCATTTACGTGACTACGAATAGCATAGGATTTACATAAAAGCTGTCGACGAAGGGCTACGATTCAAATTCTATAATGAAATGAGCAGAGGCCGAGGCAGAGGAAACCAAAAAGTCATATAGACGTCTTAAGAACTTTATATGTTCCGCGAATTGGTTGTGGCAAAAGTAATTCAGAAAATGATTATACAAAATAAAGAGAGAAAAACTTTTGTCTCTCTTGATAAGCAACATATACCTTTGCTCGATTCGAAACAGAAGGTTGGCTTGCCCCATTATCTCTAACACTATCTATTTACTGTCTAACATGATAGCCAAAGAGAACATACATATAAGACACTGTAAATGATTCACCTTGCAGTTGGGAGTTGCGTAGGAAATCGTTTTCTCTAAGTCTATGTATTTGGTATAATAAATGCATAGTTATAATATATAATTGGAACTCTTTATTTACTCAATTACTAACTTATCATTTGTGTATATTATTAGTATATTTATATTATTATTATTACAGTTATTAATCTTTCCTCACTGACAATTTACTCAAATATCTTGCTCACATCTCTATATTTATCCAAATACCCATTCATTTCTTCATATGCCTAGCTCTCTCTTTCCATTCATATTTACATTGGAATCACTTAGCCGCATATTTGTCATTGCCACAGCCAGAGAGAGAGAGAGAGAGAGTGAGACATTTGTCTGAAGACAGATAACACCTGCCTTAATGTCTATGTCTCGGCCTGTCCAACAATGTTGCTGGCCATAAAATTAGTGTCAGTTGTTTGGCACTTAGCCTTGTCGTACGCCTCTTTAGGCCAGCTTCGCAACTCTAATTGCGGATCGCACAGAATGCATACAAATCCCGATTTAAATTGCAGACAAGTGCATGGCCGTCTGGGCCGTCAGCTCGCGGCAGAATGAACATTCATCATACAACATTCAGCGGGCACGCAGCAATTTCACAGCACATTTCATTCGCTTGATAAGCTCATGATTATGACCATGATTATCGTGCTGGCTGCTAACACAATGCACAGTACGTAAGGGGAGCTTCGCATTCTCGGGACAGCACACAAAAAACGGTAGCTAAGACCTGACGCTTGGCCTGCGCCCACTGTCTCGGCTCGGCTTTAATCTGTTGAATGGACCTCACCTCACTTCACCTTGCCTTGCCTTGCCGTTGTTGTTGTTGTTGTTGTTGTCGGTGCCTAACCCGTTCGACTCAAACTTGTTGTCGAGCTTGAGCCTCGTTTGACTGACTCTTCGAGCTCGACTTTTGATGCGTGTGGCAACTATGTTGCATTGCACGTTCATTCGGTTTGCTGTCTACTAACTCTCGAGGGGCCACGCGCCAAGCCCTTGGCATTAAAGTTGGCTCTAAGTTCTTGGCGCCTTTAAGATATACAATACTTTTTTTTTGACTTGATTTTGCTGGTAATTTAAGAGATCTCATTTTAGACACACGTGCCAAATAATTGTGGGTTTTAGTTATTTCTATTTCTTGTTTATTCTAAAAAAATTTTTTGGCTAATTCTAGTAAAATTTTTAAGTAGATAATGCTTGCCTAGCTTATATATGCTCTGCTAAATGCTCTGCTTGCAAACTGGAAAAAGACTATTTGGGTTATACTGGATTGATCGAAGTTTGGCTAAGTTCTGTCAAGAAATACACCCTTCCGCAATTTACGTCACATTTGAAAAGTTATTGACTTGCAATCAAATTTTGTATTACTTATGAGCTGTGAGAGTTTAATAAAATTACTTTCGACGGTAAATAAATAAATAAATAACATAAATGAGTCTTAAGCTAAAAACAATATTCACATATAAAACCTATGTAAATCGAGCTTCCATAAATATTTGGCTTATTTTTGAAAGTATTTTAATTTTGTTTTAAAGGAACTTGTTTCATCTACTTAGCAACCTTTTGCACCTTTTTTAACTTTTCTATTTTTTTTTAATTATTTTTTTTGACTAATAAAATATGATTTTTTTTTTTAAATTACTTTTTTATGTATTTTTTTTATTTTTTATTATTATTTATTTTGAGTCGAATCTGTTGACAGCGGCGATGCGGCAGAATAATTGATTATCGCATATTAGTGTGGCCATGGAATTGGCTTTTCTCGCACAGTAAACAATTAGTGGCACATTTGTTGTTGTTGTTGTTTTTTTTTTTTTTTTTCGTGATGCCTCTTCTAGTCTGCCACTGCTGTTGGCAGCTGTCCAGAGCTGTGCCCCTTGCACTTGCCTCAGCGCCTGGACCATGTTGCCAGTCTGTGTTGAATGCCACAATAAACAACTGCAACTTGATTAGGCCTGTTGCTTGCCGACTGCTTCTGCCTCGATACGTACGTGACGTCGAGACATTTTCCATAAGTGATTGCATTGTCCTCCCTCCGCCTCTCCCTCTTTCTTTTGAAGTGACAACACACTTAGTTGCCAGACTAAATGACAACATCGAATATAATTTTGAATAAATAAGCCTAGAACTTTCATTCTTGCCAGTTCTACAACATTTTGAATAATTATATATAGAGTATATATATATTCCGAAATCAACTGTCTTATTTCTGGTGGTAAATTTGCTATTTAAATTTATTAAATTCGCGTAAATTGGAATCTATGTTTTTTTTTTTTTTTTATTTTTAATTAGGAATCAGAGAATTAATTACTCAACATTATTTGTATTGTATAATTAGAAAACCCTAAGCACCTTATCTTTTATCTTCCTTGACGGTTTTACAACTTCTGAAATGCAGCTGCGATAACGATCTAATCTTGGTTACACTTCGAGCCCTTTGATCTGTGTTATTACTATTATTATTGTCATTATTATTATTATTGTTATTATTATTCTGATTATTTTTGCAAGCTATCTTGCTTTAAGTTATGACCCAGAGCACAAAAGGCAAACTAAGTTTTATTTGTAGTATTTTAATGTAGTACTAGGGACTTTATATATCAGCCTTACAGTTGACTATGAATTTGTGATGGAATTATGACTAGAGATGGTTTGGAACATTGATATTACGTTAAGCTATTTTGTCATATTAAAGGTAAGTCTTCGCTTCATTGCTAGTCTCAACTTGAACACTGAATGAGTAAGTGAATCAATTGGATACTTACCGAGTGGCACGTTCTTGCGCGTGCTGGACACGGAGATGGGCAGCACGGCGTTGCCCGATGTGGAGGATGGCGATGGCGATGAGGAGTCGCAGGAGCCCTCCAGCGATTGAGCGGGCGTTGGCACCGTGGACATGTGATGATCGGCGCTGGTGATGACGCTGATGCCGCCTCCGCTGCTGCCAGCGCCAGCTGCGCTGCCGGAGCCGCTGCTCGATGCGGTTGCCACATTGCTGGAGCTGGCACCAACGCCACCGACCCCGCCACCGCCGGAGCTGCTGGTGGCTGCGCCCACGCTGCCGCCATGATCGCTGTGCGAGGGAGATCGAAGAGCTGCCTGATGGGGCGGCTGCTGCTGCTGTTGTTGCTGCTGCTGCTGCTGTTGCTGGTGGTGCTGTTGGTGATGGTGTTGCTGCTGCTGCTGCTGCTGCACCACTGACGATGCAGCTGCCATGTGGGCGTGATGCACATGTGAGTGGGCATGGGCGTGGCCATGCAGACTGCTCGCCGCGCCGTTGTGGGCACTGTTCAGGTGCGACTGTGGCTGAGCCGGCGGTGCGGCTCCTGCTGCTGCCGCTGCTGCTGCGGCGGCCGCTGCTGCCGCCTGCTGGTGGTGCAGCACATGGCCATGATGGGCATGGCCGTGATGCGCATGGGCGTGGCTGTGGGCGGCATGCACATGATGATGATGGCCATGATGTCCGAGCAGCGCCGCTGCCGGCGTTGCCGGAGGCGGCACCTCATGCATATGGAGCGAGCGTTGCTCGTCCTGCGCCTGGGCGCGACGCAGCGCCGTCTGCAGGGCCATCACGCGCTGCCTGTCCGCTGTGAGGCGGCACTTTTCGCAGGTGCAATAGCGGTACTTGCAGTACCGTTTGTGACCCTTCAAGGTGATCTTCAGGCCGTGATTGCGACAGCGCGCACAGTTGGGCGGCGTACGCGGCGATATGGAGCTGCCGCTGGAGCTGGAGGCGCCGCCGCACACATCGTTCTTCGAGTCGATCATGTCCGAGTCGGACATGGTATCGCTGTTCCAGTTCTCCTCCGAAACCATGCCAAACGCACTCGCTCTATTAATTGCCTTGCAAATTCCGGCCGTAATCCAATATAGTTGTTAATTCAATTGGCCTTTTTCAAATTTCAAGCCCTGCAGCCAGTGGGTAGCATTTTTTGATTGAAATTCATTAATTTATTATTATTATTGGATATTGATTATTATTACTTGTTTTTTTTTTAAGCAATTTTCGTGGATATATGCGTAATATGTATTTTAATAGATTTATTTAAATTGATTTGAAGCGGTGTCTAAAATGTTATTGAATTAATTTTGAATAGATTAGTATTTTTACTGGTATTTATAAGAATTTTTATTCAAAGTTAAATGTAGATTATGTTATTAATATGTTTTTCTTTTAATTTTTGATTGGTGTTTTTTTATTTATTTTTTTTTTATAAATCCAAAAATATGTTTTCCACTATTTTAAATATTTAGTTAAACTTTTATATATTTTGATAACAACTTTTAAATTGTAGGCTGTAAAGAAATAGATGCAAAGATGTATAATATTAAAATATTTGAAATGATTAAAAATAAATATATATTTTATTATATATCATATATGTTTATTTATAAACTTTTCACTTTCAAAAAAATAAAATATTGTATTCATTAAACATCTAGGAAATTTGGCGAAATTATATTATATAACCAATCTTGTCTTATAATCTAATTATACACTATTTAATATTATAAGCAAATATTCAGACTTTATATATAAGTAAAAGAATTCACTAGGTAAATTTAAAAGTATATAAATATTTATATGTACTTGTAATTCTCTGATATACTCTAATACTCTAAATATACATATATCAGAATTTTAAATAGAACCGAAATATAATCTCAGCTATTTATCTGATTGAATTATTTGATTTTCGGGCAGCCAAATACAACGAGATTTCGCACAATTTTATTTTAGCCAAGTCATTTCGGTTATGTCCTCTGCTTGATCATAAATGCTATGGAGGCTGCATGCCAAAATATCCAACTAGAAAATTTTACTAATAGGAACAAGCTTGCAGTCAGTCCGTTCGTCAGTCAGGCGTGCCCGCAAATTGTATTATAAGAATGTTTTGTGTAAGATTTGATATAGCCTTTGCTCGTGGGAATGCTATATAGACGCTGTTCGACACGCTCCGTTCGCATTGTTCAACAAATTGCATTTTGTTTATTCGCTACAGAGAATTTTTGCAATATTTAATCAAATCATTTTTCACGCACTTTTAAGCGACTATTGGGCGAGAGATTTTTATTTGTTTATTAATATTTTTAGTTAAATTGGTATTATTGTTTTCTCTTATATCATACATAACTATTCAAGCTGCTGGCGGGGGATTGCTGGAGCCTTACGTTGCATGTGCATAGCCAATTAATATAAAATACAAAATTGGTCTAAAATGTTGTTTAATTGATAATCGTAAACACACATCCTCCATCAGTTAGAATGGAAATAAAGAGTCAGCAAAAACAATAGTTGATGGGATCTCTTTATTTTATTTATTTTTTTTTAAATATCGTTTACACTTTAAGGGCGGAGCAGGGCATTCAGATATTTTTTAAATGTCACTCAAAGACATTCGCTTCTCTAAATTGGCAAATAATCAAAAAGAAGTTTAATTCAAGTTTTATATCGAATTTAAGCCGGAACTATATATAAAATATAAATTGAATCAAAGTTGATTAATTGTTAAATAAATTTTTAAAATGCAAGTGTAGTTAAGCAAAGAGATCCTATATTTCGATTAGCCTCAAAATATATTCTACTTCTAAAAAAAAAAAGAAGTATATTTAATATAGTTTCTGTGTTTCTAATTCCTATTCTCAGGATATTACACAAAAAAAAAAAAAAATATTATTTTTGTATCAATATATATTTTTTGCTTTGATTGCAACTGGATTATATTTTCTAAAAAGCTTAATTAAATCATAGCTCAATGATGTTTACCTTATATAAAATATGCAGATTGAAAAAATGTTGTATTATATTGATTTAGATTTGAATAAATATGATTATTTTTAGCAATATTTATCAAATTTTCAACTGACTAAATTTATAAAGTATTCAATTTATATATATATTTTATATGTATGTATTTCTTTTGACACTTGTATTGTTATATATGTATTTACTTTGTTTATACAGCTAATATATTTATTTCCAAGCACTATTTATGCAGTTAATATTGTCACAGAACAAACAAAAAATCACTTAAGAACTTGTTCTCACGATCGCCGCCGGCAAATCGCGCACGAGAACAAAAACGGCACAGCAACGGCAACGGCAAAGGCGACGACGAACGCGATAAACGATAACCGAATGCGTGTTATAAGAAGAAGACAATAGTGCAGATATTAATTGAGACAAGCGATTAGTGATATGAATCGATCTGTATGCTAAGCAATGCTCTTTCGTTCTGCTTTAACACTTTGTAACGGTTCGCGTAACGCGCGAGCTGAGCTTTTTCTGCTGCGGCTGCGACTGCGGCTGCGGCTATGGCTGCTGCTGCTGCTGCTGCTGCTGTTCGATCTGAAATCTTTGACGTGCGCAAGGCAACTCACATTGGGGCCCAAGACGCGGATGTGAAGAACTCAAAAATCGTCGAGCGCAGCAGGCAGCGAATTTTCGCACATGTATGTGTGAGAAATAGTTTGTCTTTGTGTATGTGTGTGTGTGTGTGAGTGAGAGTGTATGCGATGTTTGGCTGTGTTTGCTTGGGCCACGAGTGCGACCAACGACTGAATGCAACGGACGACGAAACGGCACCAAAGCCCAGAGAGCGAATGCCGCTGACGTCGACGTCGCTGCATTTGGAGAAATGCTTTTGGGGGCTGTGCACACACACACACACACACACGCACACAGACACAAACAGGTTTGCCCCTCTCACTAGCTGGCAAACACATACGCAGACATGCAGGCGCGCCCTTGTACATAGGCAGCCTCACACACATTGGCTGGTTGTCACACTGTCATTGTTGTTGTTGCTGTTGCTTTCGCCGGCGCTGCACATTGTAGTTGTTTTTGCTTTTGTTCGCTGTTCTCTGTTGCAGTTGGCTTCAAATCTGTCTTTGTTGCTTGCAACTTGTTTGAGTTCGCCTTGGTTGCAGTTGCATCACGCAGTGTTTGTTTTTCCTTGAATTCTTAGCTTTTTCTACCGGCTTTTTTAGTTCTTCATATTCTGTGTATTCTTTTTACTTTGTGCGTATTAATTCTGGAACATGTGTTTTCATTTGATTGGGGCTTTTCTTTGTGATACGGGGCGTATGATCAATGTTTAGCAAATTATATTTGAATTTGAAGTCAAAATATATGTTAATGAATTGTATAAAGCAGAATCAATTAGAATACATACATCTGAAGGAAACTAGAAAAATGTCGTTGTACTAATTGTTCAAAATACCACTCATAATCTAATTGATACAGATTATTAATCTAGAATACAAAAATGAATTGTGCTGGAACAGGTTAAATTTTTTTCAATTGAGGCCTAAACATTTTTTAAAAATTTACTTGACATTTTTGTTCCGAACTAAGCACATTTTATAAGTGCTGAATTTCTATATATATAATTTTTATTTTATTTTTTTTTTTTTTTAAGTAGACTTTCTATCTATACTAGCTGCTGCCATTTTAAACATTTTTTTAATACTTTTTAATTTTTTAAATAAAAATATTGAATATTATTTGTATTTTATTTCCCTCATAAGTAATAAATTATTCAGATTATGAAGAATTCTGTAAAACTATCAAGGTTTCCTCTGTAATTTTTCTCACTGTCTAATTTGTTAATCAAACTACATTTGTTAATATAAACAATTCAATATACAAATATAATTTTTGTATACTGAATGAGCATTTGGATCACAAACGTTGCAGCAGTTGCTTATCGTTCTAGCAGTATATATTATAGACAAAAAAAAAAGAGGAAAATAGAGGGCCAATTTGCTTGGAGAGCGAGCAAGCGAGTGTGCGAGAAAGTGTTTGGCTTGATAAGCTGTCGATCGGCGAATTCATCAATCTTGAAATGAAATAAAAACCAATACAGCAGAGCGATAGCTGCCGAAGAGCGCGCATTTTATTTAGTTAAGAGCGAGGTAATTGAGCGTGCGACAGATCGCCGATAACGAATGTATATATGTATATTCTAGAGCACTCTTCTTTAGTGCAATTCACTGCCCCTGACACCGACCCCGCCCAAATGCTGTCGCTTTGCATTGGGTCTGGGTAGCCGATCGCTTATCTCGCATGTCGTTGCTAATTTCTACGTGCTCTGGCTGGGCGAGGGTGAGTGAGTACTCAGTGCCGGGTATTTAGTGGGTGCTGAGGGAGTCACAAGTTACAATTCTATTTAGTTAATTACGTGTCGAACGACAGCTAAAATAACCAGGCCCGGGATAGGCGGCTACGCTCGTGATCTGCCAACGGATCGCTCCAAAGCACAAACAAACAAAACAAATAATAAACCTATTTAAAAACTTTACATGCAAAAAAATAAACATGACCAGCGACATGGTCCACTGAGATTTCCATACACCAGCTCCAGTTAGCTTTGGCTCCAGATGAGCTGCATGCCCCATTCCACAACTAGTTAACGAGCTATGCAAATATTATGCCAACTCAAGTTCTGCAACTGCGCTTCGATCACATCGAATTAAGATCAAGTTTCAATTTGAAATATGCAAAGTATATATTGAAGCTTGTTGATGCTGAGAAAGATACCCTCTTAGCCCCTACCATGGGGGAAATCACCTAACTAAGGTGTTTAGAGTTTAGATGCTACGAACAAAGAGTATAGATTCAAGAACTGAGGACTTGAACTTCAGTCTACTTGAGAAGCACTTATTCATAACTCTTAAGGAATATTATGGAAGAAGATGAGTCTTGAAACTTTATTTTTAGAACAGAATAAATTTCCCTTAAAATATATGCTCAAAATGCCTGTAACGAGATTTCATGCCCTAATATAGAGTACCTACTAGTCAAGCACCGTAATGGAGATTACCCTAACTTCTTAGTGTCCATCTTGGTCTCGCTTTCCTTTTAGGCAAACTTTCAGCTAATGTTGTTACAAGTCTGTCTTATCTAAGTGCAACTTTTGTTAGCTGTAAGATTAGATTTCAGTTAGTTGAACTCC